ATAAACTTTGTTTTTGTCAAATTTAAGGATAATTTATTTACATTAAAAGTCAATAAAACAACACTAAAACAACAACCAGAAGACAAAAGTCCTCTTCAAACAATAACATGGCCAAAACGAAAGGCGTGGGGCGTGGCTCTTATCAGTCTTTTGGAGTTAGAACGATTTGGCAGCTTGTCAAAACTATGTGGAACTGTCGCCTGGGTCCGACGAGCTGTAGAATCATGGCTGAGGACAAAGAACAAAGCCTTGAAGCCAGCAAAGTGGGAGGCAAACGGTTCAAAACTGTCTGCAGACGAAAGAACAGAGGCTTTTCAAGATTTGGTCCTTGCTGCCCAGAGTGGCATAGACTTCAAAATTACAACCTTGAACCGCCTTGTTGTAACCAAAAATGAAAACACAGGACTCTTGCTTTGTGGCGGAAGAATCCAATCATGGAAAGAGGACAGTAGAGGGGTACCATTGCTACCTTTCCATCGTGGTTGGGTACTCTGCTGGCTAGAGAAGCTCACAAGGCTAATCATGAAGGGGTTGCTGCTACACTACTGCGCACAAGAAGAAAGGCCTGGATCATAGAAGGCCGAAGGATAGTCAAGAGGGTGATCAACGAGTGCATAACGTGCAAGAAGCAGAAAGCAAGGCTATGCCAACAACAATATGAGCGATCTTCCCCTTGAGAGCACACACAGAGCAAACCCATTCGAGTTTACCACGCTGGATCTTTTCGGTCCTTTCGAAGTAAGAGATGCGGTCAAGAAACGGACCATGAAAAAGGTCTGGGGTATCGTGTTCTGTTGCATGGCTTCCAGAGCTGTCCATGCCGATCTTGTAGACGACCTGTCAGCTGAGAGCTTTCTTCAGGCGTACTCGAGATTCACCGCTTTGAGAGGACATCCATGGACGTTATGGTCTGACAGGGGCAAATTTTGTGGGTGCCAAATCTGCGCTAAGAGACCTTCACAGGCACTTGGACAGTCTGCAGAAAGTGTCGATCGAGGACATTGCAGCAAAAAATGGAACTGAATGGCAGTGGGTCTTCCACCCCGCTGACTCGCCCCACAGAAATGGAGCAGCAGAGGCAGCTGTCAAAGAGCTCTCAATAGCCTCGACGGAACAACCAACTGCTATACCTGGGGGGAGTTTCAAACTTTGCTGTACTCAGCAGCCAACCTAACCAATGAGCGACCTATTGATGCCAGAGTGCAGGAGCAAGAGGAAACTGTGGAGTACTTGACTCCAAACTCCCTCATCCTAGGGCGCACTGGACGAGCTGGAGATATGCACGGGGTCAACTTGGACACCCACCCTTGGCGCAGGTTGAGGGCGGTCCAAGCAGGAGTCGACAAGTTTTGGTCTAAGTGGAGTGAACTAGCAGGACCAAACTTGTTTATCCGGCCCAAGTGGCATAGAGCAGAAAGAAATGTCCAAGTTGGAGATCTGGTTTGGATTGCTGACCAGAATGCCCTGCGAGGACAGTTCCGGCTCGGTCGGATTGTTGTCACCTATCCGGACAAGACCGGAGTGGTACGAGATGTCGACGTCGCCACCTGCGTAAAGCCTAGTGTATACTTGCGCGGCGTGGCTTACGTTAGCGGTTGCGGTGGACCTACGTAAGCACAATTGATGTTATACTGGCGCGTTCCCCTTACGGAGTTTTGAGGAGAATGTTGTAATCCCACAACAAACCACATGAGGGCGATCACACGAGGAGCGGTCCCATTTACGCTGCTACTTTGTACTCTTCAGAACAACAATAGCAAACAAAACTGTTTGAGCTCATTACACGTGTTTCTACTGCAGGTTTATGTGATAGATTTATGGATTAATTATTTTATAAGTCATTTCAACTGTGATGCTGTGAATAAAGACACAGTTCTTGTTGGAAACATAGTTATTATTAAATAGTTTTCAGCACAAACAGCAAAACAATAATAGTGGTAAATATCTGAGACAAACATGAACGATTTACGAGTGCAGGAGGAAAGCAACAAACGCAGCTACGATTCAAACAAAAACAGGAACAGTGCAAAACAAACGACTGCACAGTTTATAAGTTATATATATGTTAGATCAGTGTCTCCCAAAGTGGGGTCCGCGGCCCCCTGGTGGGCCGTGAGGGTACTGCAGGGGCGCCGCGGGAGGTCATAAAAAAAAAAAAAAAAAATTATTTAATGTTAAATTTATAATGTTTTGTTTGTAATATTAAAATATTTGTGTTCATTATTTGACTTGAATAATCCACTGTAATCATTTTTGTATTACAATGTTTGTAGCAGAGGCTATTTCCCCAAAATAAAATAACCAGAAGAGCCTATTCTTAATGTTGTCTTCTTGGTTATTATTTTGGGGGGCCACGCAGACCCATCAGATTTTTAAGGGGGCCTCGGTGTTACTGAGTTTGGGAATGGCTGGTGTAGATAGTCCACAGTCTCCTGTATATCAGGCTCTGAGCCCAAACTGCTTTTCCTTCGAATTAACAAGTTTAAAACCAACCTAACTCTTTCACGTAAACAAAACATGTACGCAATGACGCTGTGACGCAATGACGTAGACATGCGTAGTCAAGGTGGGCGGTTCCCCGCATACTTTTGTTCCATGTATCTTGTAGTTAATTAATGGATAAAACGGCCATAAACAGTATCCTGATATTCTAAGTTGATTCCATAACTTTTTATCGCAAAAATATAATTTTGGGTGGTTTTTTGTTGGGATTCTCGCGGGTTTTGGGCAGGAAAATCTTGCCGCATCTGGCAACCCTTGCAACCGAGAGCTTGCCACTGACCGCGAACTGACCATTTGAAAAGACACAACTTCGAGTGGTCGAAAAATTCTCGTCATTTTGGTAAGTAAGAGACGCTTCTTTGACTATACAGCATGAAACGGCATGGTGTAATTTTCAATAGTGGTTGTGTCTTTTGTCGTTAATTTTGGAACATAGTCATTGCTAGACTATCGGAGGTTTTCCATGGTAATGTTGTATGATTTACTTATAACTAAACACAACATTATAATTTGAGCTCGGGCATTCAAGGTAAACAGTGTTAGTTTCGCTTTTTTTCCAGTTGCGTCGAACAGTGACTTGCCGACCATGCTTTCGCAATAATGGCGCTGCAAACACAGCAGCTGATAGCTGCTAACTGCTAACAGCTAACGCTAGCTTCTGCCACATGCGGAGCTCCCCGCTAGTCCAACCTATCATTATGCCGCTAAATAAATCACCAAAATGACCTTAAGGGTCGTATTTCTCGCCTCAACTGTTGTTAGAAGTAACGTTCATGTCATAGTTATGATTATTGATCAGAACTGTCATATTCGACATGGATTCTGTTAAGCTGTTATTTAAATATTGTTGAATATATTGAATTGGCTAGCATTCAATCAGTACAAGGCGTGTGCGCAGTATTGTTACGTTTTCACTCGAAATGATGGCTATGCCAAGGTTATAAACTAAGGCCCAGTCCCAATACCCACACTGCACCCTACGCCCTCCTATGAAGTGTGCATTTGTTTGAAGTGCGCGCAAGGGTTTGAGTGCACAGGTTACAAGTGTGCACAAAAGGCGGAATTGGGACAGTGCACACTGAGTGCAGGTTACGTCATCGACTCGTCAAGAGATGGTCATTTTCAGACCTAAACTTTATAAAAATTAAAGGTAATTTTGTCTGACCCTTTGGGAAACAAATTGAATTGCTTCACACACGTTAAAATACATGTATATTAGTGTTTTTTAATTAGAGATAGCTGTATAATTTTAAGTTAAATGTGGGTAACTAACTATCTGGTCAGTTTTTATACATTCTAAGATTATTGTACTAAGTGTAAAGTTTAAATTGAATGTTATATAAACGCTTGGTTTAAAACGTTATTAAATTGTTAAAACACAATGTCCGTAATTCTTCATCAGACGTTTATGCTTCTTTCCAAGTAACATAGCAAAACTTATTTACACACATACAGCATATATATTTCAAAATGTATATTTAAATGCATTTTCCCGACGTTTTGGTGTGTACCGCAAAGAATTATGGGCAATATCCTTCGCCAGAGTGCGCATAGATGCAGGCTACGGCGAAGTGTGGATCAGGGGCGCAAAGGGGGCGGGGCCAAAGACCTCCCTGGAGAATTGGGACACCCTACGCACTCGCACACTTTATCGGGAACGCGCAAATGAGGGGCGCGAGGGTGGAAGTGCGAGTATTGGGACGGGGCCTATGGTGTGAAGAGCTGTGTGTTACGGATAAGCGGGCCGTTCCGTGTTACATGATTATCAGTGTCAGTGCGTGCACGGTAACCCGGAACGGTCCATTTTTCACCCGGACTATTTAAGTGGACAGACTTTCGCTTCCGATTTCTCTACAAATATAACAAAACATGTATTGGTTGTATATTTTTGTTATCGTAATTGGTTTTGCCTGTGTTTAAAGAATTATTTAAATTGGGTGTGTTTGATGTGGTAACTTCAGTATTCATTTAATTCTACTTGACGACGCGAGCAACATAAAGGTTCCATACTTTTTAGAATTTACAATACAAATTATTAAAAACATTTTAAGTTTAAATATCTTATCAGGATCTGAGGCAAACCATGGTGATTGGGACATGCTCATTTTCCATTAAAGGGTCTTGTTATTTTGGTTTGTCTTCAATTTGCATACCTTTTTGTATTCAAATGAAAGACTTTAATGCAGTTACTACAAAAACATGATTAGTATGGTGTAGGTGAATTGTAGAGGGACTACTTTAAATAAAAATGTAGTTAATTAATCTGAAACTATTTCTAATGTCAGTCTCTGTTTTGCAGGTTTTCAATGTGGAGGTGCAAGGAGTGCCCTGAGACTGTTATCTACGAGGTATCTGTTGCTTAAACACTACAAATTGAAGCATTATCATTATGGATAAAGACACTCGTCTCCATGCACATACTGTGGATCAATACTCCAACAAACTAATGAAGGTGTTCAAGAAGAAAGGAGGAGCAGCAGGACGCAAAATAACAGATTATGGTGGCCCTAGAAGAGGTGTGTTTTACATTGAAACCTTACTGGATAGTCAAATAAGTTTTACTTTCTATACAAACATAACAGAACATATTCTCATGAAAAATCTGAGCATTATTAAAGCTGCACTAACTTACTTTATTTTTGTATTCATTACGAAAATGCTATCCATGTCCATGTAGTGCATTGGGATATACGTCCTTTTGAAGAAAAAGTAGCGCAGATTTGTGCTGGCGTGACATATTTTAGATCGAGTTTTGATGAAGCAAGGAAGAGAATGTGTTTCGGGTCCCCACTTTCGTGAGAAATCTACAGGTCCGTTAGCACAGGCAGCTGAGTTAGCACAACAAGCGGCGGAGCTAATCTGAGACTTCGTCCTCGTCACCGGTTACTGCTTACACAGCGATCCAGAAGAAAGTCTCGTTCCTCTGCGCTTCCCGGTTCTATCGTTCTATGGTCACGCCGTCCAAGTGCAAATCCATGTCCATGTATTATCCATATTGGGAGAGGCTAGCTCCGTCGACAACAGTGAATGTGTGTGTGGGGGCGATAGCTTCGTGGGTGCGGGGAGGGCAGCAGAAAGAGCGAGACCAGCGAGTCCGCGGCTTCAATATCCCAAAGTCAGTTAGTGCAGCTTTAACCCAACATTCTGACTTTTCTCAATATATTTTTTGAAAATGTAACACAAATATTACTGTATAACGAGAACACTTAATTGGTCTTTCACAGAAACCCAACATTGAAACAAGACTACTCTGCATCCTAAAGGCTCTGTGCGTGTACTTGAATGAAGACCCCGAGGACCTGGTTAAGACCTACATGGTGAGTTATCACTTATTTCAGCACACCTTTGACATTGCTGATATCTATAAATACATTCAAATCATGTTGTCACGCAAATATCTCCAAGTCTAAATAGATGAAGAAAGTTGCATGGCTATTTCAAACTAAAACCTGGGCTGTGTAAAATTAACTTTTAGGTAGAGAGGTTGAATTTTTTTTATTTGCTGTATGCAGAACTAGATGTAATGATAAGAGTACAGTAAAAACAATAATAAACCTCTGCCACAAAGAAAAAAATTTCAGTATGCGCAGTAATGCAGAAATTAGATGGTAAAGACCTGGGGACAGCCCAGAACAACGCACTCAGTTGGACTTGTCTCCTGCTCATTTTCCAGAGGGAGCAATGGGCTATAGCAATAGTTATATAAACAGGCCAGATTTGTCACCACCAACAAAACAAACTGATTTGTAATGTAGACACTGAAGAAAAATGCAACGGCGCAACTCATAGGCCTACCTTGCCCAGCCTCCAATGCCTATACATTGTATAATCGATATAAACAATGGTGACAAATGTTCTAATAAAGACCCCTTATGAGTGAGAATTCACTAAACAGGCTTGTAGGGATGAAGTACTATTGATATTTTAACATTCATACTTATTACTCATACTTAAATGATAATGAAACACAATTGCTAGTCTAACTTTTAAAGGAAAACTAAACACCAAAACAACTTTTTTTAAACTCATAAACTGCATGAATGTTTCTTTTATAGTGCTCTTTATGTCCTGGTCCTGGTCTAGCTAAACAATAATCTTTAGTGTGTAAACAAGGATGGAATGAGAATTTCTGGTATGGAACTTTTGCTTTAATCCAGAAATGACAACTGACAAGCAAGCAGTCAATCACAGCCCAGACCACGCCCAAATCTAAGCCCCCTTCCTGTCCCCTGGTCCTGCGGGCAATGCCCTTTTTACAGAGAATTTTCAAATGTTCATGTGGTCGGAGTCAGGCTGGGCACAGGTGTTTAGTCGCACTTTAACCCACTCACCGTTGCACAAGATTTAGCAGTTGACTGCTGTGCAAAAGAGCGATGCTTTTTGGCATGGTAGTCAGAGCGTATGTACAATGGTTGTAGCATGCAACTACTGTAGCAGTGTGCGTTATTTTTGATTAAAATGTCACCATCTCACACCTTGTGCTTGATTTATAGGGTTTGATTTCAATATGGGAAAATATTAAATTGTAAATTGAAGCTTTCTATCTGCCATTCTTTTCTTTTAAGGATGCCGATGTTGGAGCAGAGAAGGAGTTTGAGAAAGTAGTGCTGGGTGTCTACATCGTGGAACATCAACATGCCGATGCATCAGACTCATTGGAGGACTTTGGAATAATCATCGATGGCATTGCATTTCTTCAAGACCTAAAACACATTCCAACTGGATGGGCGCTCCTTCTTGGATTAATCTACTGTCTGGACATGAACTCTCGAAAGGGACTCGGATGTACTTTTGAATTTATTCCAAAGGTATTAATGGAAGTGGACAGAAGAAAGCTCTCCAACAAAGTTCAAATTCTGAAAAACAAACTGCACGAACATATCTAATCAAGACTTAACTGTTTCAAAATGTGTTTGGACTATGTTTCATCAGTGGATATCACACCGTACATGCAACAGAGAAGAAATGGACTTTGTAGGCTGAAAAGACTCTTCGATATACATCCTGTACTATGTGTGTTGTGCTGTGCTCTTGAGACTAGCTTAAATGTACTCTTTTGAAAAAAGTACACAGATGGATGGACCTAGACACACAGACGGACAGGTACACAGAGTGGAGACAGAGGGCCAGGGACACAGACTGATGGAGACGGACTGAAAGAGGGACAGGGACACAGACGGACAGACAGGGACGCAGATAGACGGATGGAGACACAGACGAACAGACTCAAACGGACCGACACTCACTTACTCACTCACTGCATGTTTTTGCATTGCTTCTTACTCCAGACGAGAATTTGGAAGTAGCTGTTAATTTCAAAGTTTAGTCCCAAATGTAAAAGTTAAAAGCAAATGTTTAGTTGGTCTACATACATTTGGTGGGTAGCTGTTGGGGTTTAGCAATTCTGTTGGCAGTCTTTAGCCAATTTTCAGAGTGAAAACATTAACTACACACAACCACTGTTATTATTTAAGACATTTAATAGGCAGTTCCTAGTGCTCTGCAATGTGTATTTACATTAAAGTGTTTCATGAAAAGTTACTTTGATTTAAATATGGGATCATTTATGCACTTTACATTTTTAATTAATTGTATATTTTTTATTTAAAATGTTTGAGTTGGTACATGTGTTAAATGGGTGGAGAGAAATTACCTGTTTAAATAAAAGCTTGAATATAAATAAGCACTTTATGTTGTATTTATTTAACTTAACAATGTAGCCATTACTACTTTAGTTTTGTTGAATCAACACAAGCCCACTACATAAATATAATTAATTTCTGTTAAGTTGATCAAACTTAACAGTGTTTGGTTGAACCAATGTGAGATTAGTAAATCCAACATAATGTTGTTGGGTTTATACAATCTAACACTGTCATGTTACTGTAAAGTGAGAATGTTGAGTATACTTTATCTAACATCTGGTGTTCAAATTAATTGTGATTTGCATTTCCAATTTAAACAACACAGTTTCGTGGAACCGGTTGCCATAAAAAAGTTAAGGAAAGTCAACATTTCATTTCTTACAGTGTAAGGAAAAAACACATTGCTTTGCCAGAGGTGAATGAGGAAAAACATATGCGTAATTACGCAGCGCAGGGCCTGCTGCAGAGTTAGTAAGTCAAGTGTATTTGTATAGCGCCTTTCACAGTCCAGGATCAAAAAGAGCTTCACATTTAAAAAACATACAGATGAAAATAATACACATACAATTCAGATTTGAAAACGAAGAAACAGAAGAGGGTCCTCAGCATTAACAGTGATGTATTCGAAGTTTGCATGTTTCCATTAGACTCTTTCTGATGCACAAGTTCAAATTTCAAAACATGATGCTCATTGAAAACGCTGCTTATAATTTTGCCAGACTGGGAATGTGTTTATTGTTGTCCAAATCTTGTATGAGTTTGTGTCTGCGATTGTATGCGTTTTGTTACAATGAAATAGCTCAGTGTTGTGACTTTGCTTGCAGTGGCTGTGTGCATCCTCAATGCGTCAGCAGAGGCGAACTCTCCTGGGGGACCTTCTCTGCTTCCTCTTCATCACTCCACTGTCCTCCCTGTCCGGATGGCTCTGTGTGCAGGGAGCCCTGGACCTGTACCTCAGTAATCCTGCAGAGGCTCTCGGGCTCATGCTGCTCACTGTGTCCCTGCTCCTCATCTACATCTTCTGGAGCCTGGTACGGTCACCAGGGTCTGCTCTACCTGGTTGCATTTCCATTACACTTTAATATCCCTTGTTCTATCCTTGGGTCAAAATGACCCACCACAGTAATTAAAAGTAGAAGATAAATACCCTAAATTAGGGACTTAAAAAGGTCTAAATGACCCATGACTGGTCAAGTTAGGAATAACCATCAAACTTTATCTCGAAATCTTTTGTTATTTAATCACTGTGGTGGGTCAATTTGACCCGAGGATAGGAAGTGCTAAGACAGCAACCTGCCCCCAACCAACCAGTATTCCTTGTTAACCAGCAGCACACAAGTACCAGCTCAACCTGGATAGAACCAGGGCCAAAAAACTATAGAAAGACCTGGTACCGGTTAAATGGATCCGGTAGAGTGGAGTCAAGTAAAGCTGGTGGATCCAGGGCTGTGTTGTTGTTCACCAGTCACGGATCTGGGATGGTTTTTAGATCTATTCATGCCAATATCAGGAACTTCTGGAACAAACATTTAGCTCCACCCCTTCTGTCTGAAAGATCCAGACTCATTCTTTGTCATTGTAACACTATAACATGACACATTATTAAACAAAAACTTTACAATGGGCAAGCAAATACCTCCCTCTGGTAGCATTATAGGGAAGCTGGATGGCATAATTAATTGGAAAACGAATCACTCATGCTTTTACTGGTGTAATAATATATGCGGTTTGGGGTGGGTCTGTTGGATGGTTGGGAGGAGGGGGTCATCGACATGCGGGATTGTGTTGCATCTTCTGTATGAAAATGAAAATTGATTATCCGGAAATACAGCACAACCTCTAAACTTGTACATTATCATTATAGTTTATCTAATAACCACTATTTGTCCCAGGTGTCTGTGCGGTACCACCTTCATCTCTTCAGGACGTGGAGGACGACAAACCAAAGAGTTCAGCTAAAAATCCCCTGCAATTGCGACTCGGGGAAAAACCAACCGACTATTCCCCGAGAGTCAGAGAAGAGCCCCAACAAGGAGACCATCGTATGTCTGGATTCACCAATAACGGATCAGTTGTAACGCAGAAAATGCAATAACACACAGAAGCCATTGGTCCATAGGGAGGGGATGACCACTAATGTCTATACATGTTATTAAATTTGCAGAAATGTCCTGAATTACTGTCTTTAGACCCTCCTGGACCTCTCTGTGGTCACTCGCATGTATGTCTGGCCTCTGTCACATCTTTAGATTTAACCTATAGAAAAGTTCAAAAGAGAAGACAACCCTCACTCAGCTGTCTGCCCTAAAGCAGATGTGTAGCTTATTTGATGTTATCTTTGCAGTTTAGACTTTTAAAGTGTTCTATTTAGTATTTGTAATGTTTTTGTTCAAACCAAAGCCAAAATCTAGTTAGTTTCGTAAAACATTCCTCTGGCTTTTAAACGTCCAACGACAATCTCTTTGCAAAGTCACAAGTCAATGCTGAGCCCCGAGCTCTGCATCAAGAATTGCAACGAACAATCTTTGTTTTAGTGGAACGTTTTAGAGTCAACTCGTGTGAATGGAGCGTTTTTATTTTTTTGAGAAAAACAGACGATCGGTTTGTCTCAAGGACAGAGTGGACTAAAGTGGTCGAACACTGAGTCCTGATGGCGGATGTTTCCTCTTCATGTGTGTGATGTTGAGATTTGATTTTATGAAAATTAGAAAATATATTTCTATAGCGCTTCCAGTCACAAAGTGCTCAACTTTCACAAATGTAATAAAAATACAGATTTGCATCTATAGTCAGAGGTGGACATCCCTTCCCTCACCTAGACCTGAGGAAGCCGTGTCTGAAGTCAGCTCTACATGGCCTCCCTCACCACTTATCATTGGCTTTGAGTAATGGTCGAAAGGAGGAGATTGCGGATACAAGCGGTTCCCATTAGTTTTCTTCAGAGCTCCCATTGAAAGCTCAGTCACAGAGGAGCTCAAAGTAGATTCACTGCTCCATGTGTAGAGGAGCAATTTGAAGCAGCTTGGACATCAGTTCGGGATGCCTCCTGGATGGATCTTTTCCTCCTGGGGATGTGTCCCACCGAGGAGACCAGGGGAAGACTGTACACGCAGGAGGGACTGTCTCAGCTGGCCTGGGAACCCCTCAGGATTCTCCTGGATGAGCTGGAGTAACTGGTGAGGGAAGTCTGGGGACCTCCGCTCAAACTGCTACCCCCATGACCCGGCAGTGGATAAAGCAGAAGAAAATGGATGTATACAGCACACGCAGCTTCTACAGAGTCCAGAGCATAAGCAGAGATACGGCAGTGGTGACATCCCACTAAGGACACTGCTGATCGTAGAAATGGCAGTCTACGCTACAACAATGTTACAAGAATTTTAAATGCATTTAATGTTGGCCAAAAGTGTCAATTTAGGAAATAACTGCATAAGATTGTTATAATGGTAAACCTGTCATACAGTGATGTGAATAAAATGTTTTTGAACCTTGTGAAAAGAAAGTTCCCTTGTCTTGCATTAACAAAGAGGGAAACTTGAACTCATTGCCACATCCTCGCAGCCGCTGCTCGGACACAGCCCCTAGTGGAGCAGCCCAGGAATTCAGGAACTGGACGCTTTTTGCCAAATAGAATTTATAATCTAAAGTCTTTGTAAAAACAGATGAAATCCATATAAGGATTGACCAATTAGATTCCTTCATTCATGAGGGAAACTCCAGCTTGCCTTAGCAAAAGAAATCTGCCCCTGTGAAGCTAATGCAGTCTGAACAAATATAAAGGAAACTGGCTCCAGCTAGCTTATGCTCAAATCTGCATTAAGGCTAACACTAAAGTGATGTCATGATCATACAGTAGGATTTGGTGCCAATTGTCAAAACCCACTTAAGACTCATTGTGAGAGACTAAACATGTGCATGTTTGTGAGTGCATTTATCAAAGGGGAGGAGTCAGAAAAATACCTCACTTAGAACACTTTATTATTTATAATACATAAAAATCTGGAATTACTCAAAGGCTTCTCTTCGGCATCACATCAGTCCATGATTGTACATAGCAGAGATCACATGACCGCACAACTGTCCTGAAATGAAGAAAAATACCCATTAAAACTAACTGCACCAGTCTCTGAGTGCACTTTCAAGATTCCCCCAGAACAGAAAGTACAGCTCTAATCAGATTAAAGGAACAGCTACACAGCAAAAAAAAAAGACTTCACAATGTTGTGTACTAGACAAGCAGCGTTTTTGAAACACGGGTCTACGGAATGGATGAGCCAATACTGTAATTATTGAACCATTCCTGTGGTTGTAGTAACTGAATTTTCAATACTGGCCTATATTGCAGTCTACATGCAAGGCCAGGTTCAAAAGATTCCCCCTTCAAGTCAGCACATGGCTCGGGAGGCAAGACTTAAATACATTACTTTATGCCCAACATTAGATAGTTGCAGAGGTTGCATACAGACCCCTGCTGGAGAAGTATGGTAACAGCACTCTCCTACTTCAACTATCTGTGAGCATGACTTCAGGCGTTGTCCGAGTTCAGCTTGAGTTCCCGATCAAAAACATGTGACAATCGGGCTACTATATGATGCAAGTATTTGTATGATTACAATGTTATTAGATTGCCACAGCCATACAGTCACAGAAGCTGGGAAACCACAAAATGCCATCTTCATCTCATTAGAAAACATGTTATCTATAATGTAAGGAAGGATCCTTGGCTTGAGAGCAGATATGCCGAGTGAGGGTAGGTCTGTGTTAATCACATCTTTACATCAGGCAGACGAGAGAGCAAGAGAAAGAACAGAAAAAGATTATCTAAAGACGTGACATAGGCCAAAAATGTGTTTTTTATTAGCATTTATATGTTGTAGTTTGAAGGTTACGTTCCCCAGCTTTAAGTTGTATTGGGAGTGCAAGGCTTCAACATGCGTCTGTCTGCAGCAGGTGTGAGCAAGCCATGCATGGGGACAGAGCTCGTTAAGGGCTATTTAAATAACCAGTACTCACTATATCGCCACAGACTGCTCATGACACTGAACAACATTTCTTCTTTTTCTTTGGCTTCAGGAATTTGAAAGAAAAAACAAAATAATCCAAACTATTATTGTTGGATAATATGTGAAAATAGAGTTCTTTGGGACTCAGGGACAGGCCTACTGGCCACCAGTAGGAGGCTGTTTGGAGGACATGGGGAGGCAGCATTTGATTTATACAGCCTTCCTGAAAATCCGAGACAGGCTTCTACTCTAACAATGTTCAAATCCATGTTTCGCTGCAACAACTGAATGATTGTACTGTGCCATACAAATAAACTTACCCTCACCCAAATCCATCCATAATAATGGACTTCTCACACAATGGATGGTTTAAAATAACCACCTCCTTATGTTTAGAACTGGACAACTCAAGGTCCAGACAAGCCCGGTCTAGAAACTGCTCTTCACAAACTTCTTTCTCTGGTCTATGTCCCTGGTCTCTACCCCAAACAGAAAGGTACCAAGGAGAAAGTAAAAGAGTCAAAGTCTATATCCACCTGAAATGATGAAAAACACTTCTGTTCACAAATGCTCATCCAATCTGACACATGTCTTAGTTGTTTGTTTTAGTACCATTACCCTCTGTAAACTCTGACCCAACAGAACCACAGCCCTCAGTAACAGGCCCATAGATCAACAATGGTTCCCATTCTTTATTCTGTATTTTTTTTACCTGTCTCAGGATTTCACCGTGGGCCACGTACTGCTCAAAGTCCAGATCCGACTGGTCCTGGATCCTCACTCTCCGCTCCACGCTCTGCGCCAAAGATCAGAAGAAACTGAGACACCACACTCCATTTACACTGAGGCTACGGTCGTCCGGCCTTTGGCATAAAGGAGGAGGCAGTTCTCAAGTGTTGTATTAAATATAGGCTAAAAGGCGATGTGAATTAGATTGACCTGAAATTGAACTCTGTCTGTCTCCAAGCAAAAAGAAAGACCTTGTATTGCCCTACTCCCCTTGTCCCATTTTGTCCAAAGTGCATGGGTGAGTTAATGATAGTTAATCTGGGGGGATTCTGCTAATCCTTTCAAGTTGTGAAAGAAGGAGATGGAGTCCAGAATCTGGAGGAGAAGCCTTGAGATCCCTCTGCCTTATCTCAAAGGAACTAATAAATCGATAGAATTAGGGAGGGGTAGTGCGTGAATGATTTCTGTTTAGGTTCGGCGAGACGGAGGAAAAGGCCGGACCTTGGACCAGACATCTGCCTGATACGACACGCCCCCTTCTTCATGCACATTTACTTATAATAACCTCATGCTTGTGTTAGTCTAGACCGGACCAGGGACAGGAGTGTGATTTGCGTGGAGCGCCCACCAAAATCATACTTTTATATTTTATATTTTATATAGAGAATAAGGGATAGTTACTTTTGGTCCGAACAGCTGTTTTAGATTCTTTTTGTATTAGGGAAATAAACCTTTTTGAATTTAACTTCCTGAATCATGGTCATCTTTATAAGGGATTTTGAACACGTCATTTTTTAATATAATAATTGGTGACCCTCGACGTGATCCCTTTGATGACTTTCAACCTCTCCCTTGGACTCTGCATCTCTCCTCAAAGCGGCCGCTGATTTGAAGGTAAGCAGATACCTTTTGACTAATTAAAAATCTGCATATTGGACTACACAAATTAAGGGGAGAGAAGTTTTGTCCACGGAGGAGCTAATTCAAAAAGTAAAAATAGTAAAAGCCTAAAAAGTAGTGAGAGCCTTGCGAAAATACGTTAAAATTAAATAAAATAGGAGTCTAAGTAGCTAGAACCCTGCGAGAATATATTAAAAGTAAAGATTTTTTGAGAAGCCTTGCCAGAAACAGGAAAGCCCGCTGTGACTAGCGTGGTTGACGGACGCGTCAACACACAAGTTAGGTTTTCACCATTGGAACCTGGGGGAATTTTGGGCCCCCCCGAAAAATGGAGACAGGCATTCAAATCGAGCAGCTCTATAAAGAGATAGAGGCTCAGATTCTGAGTGGTCTGGATAAAAAATATAGGAACAAGGCAAAACGAAAGGCTGTGAAAGCATGGGAAAAAATACAGAACAAAAGGGTCATACCTGAGTATATGACAGCGTCCGCATTGGCTAAGATATTGCGGGAAGAGGAAAATAATTTAAAACAGCATAAACTTGAGCTTGAGGGAAAGCAGGGAGAGAGTTGGAATGAGCGTAGAAAAATTAAGAAGGAACTAAAAAAGGCTGAGAAACTGAGGACCAAGGTACATAATTTTGCTTTGGCTGCCACGGCGTTGGCAAAATTACCGATGGTAAGTAAAGACAAGGAAACAGAAAACGGAGCAATGCCGGTGAGTAATATATACCCATCCCTACCCACGGCTCCACCAAAATATTCTCTGGGTTTAGAACCAGGTAAGCCAAATCTAATATTGCCACAATATACATTTTCAGGAGAAGTGGCGGTAGGAAAGAGAGGGGACAATGACTTTGTAGACAGTGAATTTGACGAAGGGACAGAACAGGAGTCTGTGGGGGACAATAGAGATCCGAGTCAAAATCCAGCTGTCAGCAGCCCGCCACAGCTCCCACACACCCCTCACCAACCCCCACCCATCCAAGAGGTGCAGGAGCTGCTCCTGCACTCTCTCAGAAATATTAGAGCTAGGAAACCGACCTCTGAATGCACCACAGACAGAGTTGAGGGAGAAGAAACCCCAAGTAGGACCCATGATTACGAGACCGCTAGACAGGAGAATGCAAAATTAATTAATAAAGCCGCACGCAGAGCCATGACTAGGACGGACAGTGAAAATGAAAAGGGAGACGGTGCCATGGCCCAGCCAATACTTAAAGCTAAACAGGCTAAAAAAGGAGCTAAATTCTCTTCTGACAGTAGTGATGACGGAGACCAGGAGCCTGGAGAAACTAGACCGGTGGCAAGCAGAACCAGGTCTCAGACAAAATCCATGTTCCCTCTGAGACCAGGACGAGGCGCAGCTGGGGAGTACCATCCTTTTTCTGTAAGTGACATGCAGACTATAAAAGACAAAATGCCTCCATTGTGTCAGGGAGCTGGAAACTGGATTTCCAGTCTGAACACATGGTTTACAGGTCATGATGTCGCGATGGGTGACGTCCGGGCAGTGATGGCAGCATGCAGTAAACCATGGGAGAGAGATGCTATTGAAAGACAAGCTGGTACTGCTGATGTTTGTGATTCTTCCAGATTTGGCCAGTATGCAAATGCCTGGTATGAAGCACTGAGGGAGAACTTTCCAACCCCGCTGTCTTCTGCCCCTCGTGAGTTAACTTGGCTGGAGTCTGAGGACCCAATTGTATTTTATGACAGGAGTGTGACCAAGTGGATGGACACAGTAGGAAGACACCCTCACAAGGTCAGTGAAGTCATGCCTTTTAGAGCAGCTATTTTGAATGGTTTACCAGAAACAATACGCTCAAAGATTGAAGACAACCCAGATAATATTAACCCGGATTCAGCACAGTGGAAAACAAATTTAATCTTTCACATTAAGCGATATGTTGAAAATAAAACTAAAGAAAGAAAGAGTGTTGAAGATATGACTTGTCAACTTTTGAAGTTACAGCTTAGTGAAGCGAGAAATAAAGCCACACAAAATAAAAAAGGAACCAGTAATCAGATGACTAATATGCCTGCTGGACTTCCCACTCCACCACGACAGGACTGGACAAGGGGAGGGGCCAGAGGTGGTGGGCGTGGGGGCCGGGGAGGAAGAAGGGGTGGAAGCTGGAAAGGGGGCAGGGATGTGTGTCACCTCTGTTACAGGCACGGTCACTGGGCGAGGGACTGCCCCTTTGAAGGAGAGGCCTCCTACTACCATGGAGCGCCTGAGATGGTGCGTGGGAGGGGCCCCCAGAGAGGCATGGGACCCAGACCAGAGCGCGCAGGCCCTCCCTCCCCATGGACGGCTCCGAATGACAACCTGGCCCCGAGAGATGGACAATATTTCCAGCATGGGAACTACTGGGGCGAGTATGAACATGAACAATCTTACTAGGGCTGCCTAGGAAATCCAGGGGACAAGGTACCAGCAGAGCCTATGCTCCCCATAAGGGTGGAGGACGACAACCTGATGGCCCTGGTGGACACTGGCGCCACCTACTCTACCATCAATACAAAGATACGCCCTGTCCTGCTCTCTGAGGAGCACATCACCCTGGTTGGATTTTCTGGGACACCTGAGGTACTGCCACTCACTAAACGTTTAAAGACACAAATTGGAACACAGACACTGTGGCATTCTTTTGTAAATGCTCCTAAAACACCTGTCAACCTGCTGGGAAGAGACTTATTGACTAAAACCAATGCGTCAATTCTATGTGGACCGGATGGTCTACAAGTGACTTTTCCAGGGGGACAAATTTACAGATGTGTGACCGGTGTATCGATGGACTCCTGCTGGCTTCTGAGAGAAGAGATGCCAGACCAGTATGCAGACATATACTGGGTGAGACTGGACCCAGAAAACAAGTCCACGGACAATAATGGTGTGCATTCCGTCTTCTTCAAGTGGAAACCCTGGATAAATTCTTTGGCCTCCTACCACCTCCCACTGGACCCTGCCCACTTGACATTATTCTATGACAGAGACCAAGACTTAATGTACAGAGAACAATTCAAACAAATTGAAAGTGATAGGTGGACATTAGAATCAGATTACATTTATATTGGGCCTGAGGGTGTGGCGGCCCATACACGGCTGCTTCCTGAACAGTGTGAGTGGTATTACATGTCTTCCTCTGCTGTCCCACACATCACCTTGGCTGTACACCCTGGTCACGAGGCTAGAGCTTTAGGTCCAATGGTAAAGAGACTGGTAAAAGCTGACGATTGGTCTGACACCCAACTCCCTCATGTGCAGTACAGCATTGAAAATAAGTCATACAGGATAAAAGCAAATATGATAGACACAGGGGAAGTGGAGCACGAAACATTGACCAGACATCATGGTAGACACATGACAGATCATGATGATACGCATGAAATATTGAAACAGGTGCCTGCAGAAGTTTGGTCCCAAGGTCCCACGGACGTGGGGTTGTGCACCTCTTTCCCTCCTGTGTCTTTACAGATGAAGCCAGGAGGCCCGATTCGCATAAAGCAGTATGCCGCCAAACCAGACGCTGTCGAGGGTATCTCACAGGTGATAGAGGGACTTACGAAAGTGGGAGTCCTCGAGCCATCAAAATCAGAGTGGAACACGCCCACTCTAGCTGTGCCAAAAACAGGTCAGAATAAATATAGAATGGTCCATGATTTGAGAAAAATAAATGATTTAACATTAACTCAGTGTCTCCCGGTCCCAAACCCTTATACAATGCTGTCATCACTGTCACCAGACCTCCAGTATTTTACTGTTATGGATTTGGCTAATGCATTTTTCTGTATTCCCCTGGCAGAGGAAAGCAGAGATTTCTTCTCATTTACTCACAGGGGCCAAAAACTGCGTTACACCCGTCTTCCCCAGGGACATAAATGCTCCCCGGGCATTTTTAATCAGACTTTGAACGCTCTGCTGAAAGAGTTGGTGCTTCCGGAGGGCGTGGTACTCCTACAGTATGTGGACGATCTCCTCCTCGCCTCGAGAACGGAGCAGGCCTGTCTACAAGCCACTAGGGACACTATAGTCTTCTTACATTCAAAAGGATTTAAGGTCAGTAAGGAAAAGCTACAATGTTGCAGGCCTGCGGTGACCTTCCTGGGACGTAGTGTGTCTGGAGGATCCACAAATATGTCTCCAGAGCACAGAGATGCTAT